TAAAAAAGAACGATAGTACCAAATGCTGGCAAGGGTGTAGAGAATTGGATCTATCGTCCACTACTGGTGGGATAGCCACTCTAGAAAACAGATGAGTTTCTTTTGTTTTTTTAATCCTTACCCAAAGATATATTTATTGATTTTAGAGACAGAGGAAGGGAGAGAGAGAGAAACATCCATGTGAGAGAGAAACTTCAATTGGTTGCCTGCCATAGAGCTCCAAACCCACAACCTAGGTATGCACCTTGACAGGGGATCAAACCTGTGAACTTTTTGGTGCACAGGATGATGCTCCAACCAACTGAGCCAGGGAAGATGACAATTTCTTAAAAAGTTAAACATGCACTTACTATAGAACCTATAATCACACTCCTGAGCACTTATTCTAGAAAAATTAAAACAGATTCACAGAAAAACTTGCACATGAATGTTCATAGCAGCGTTATTTGTAATCTCCCCAAACTGAAAACTACCCAATGCCCTTCCATGGGTGAGTGGTTAAACAAAATGAAATGTGTCCATCTGATGGAATAATACTCAGCAATACAAATGAACAAACTATATATATGTGTGTGTGTGTGTATATATATATATATATATATATGAGAAACAATTTGAATGGATCCTAAGGAACTTATACTGAGTGAAAAAGACAACTTCAAATGGTTACCCACTACACGATTCCATTTATATAACATTCTCAAAAGTCAAAAATCTAGAGGTGGAGAAAAGATGAGTGGTTGATAAGGAAACCAGGGAAATCAGGGAAGGGGATGACTATGAAGGGTTAGCAAGAGTTAGATCCTTTATGATAACAGAATAGTCCTGTATTTTGACTGTGGTGGTATTTATATAAACTTGTATTTGTGATAAAACATCATAGAACTATAAACTAAGAAATATAAATAAAATAATTATGTGCAAAAACTTTTGAAATCCAAGTAAGATACAGACCCTACCAGTCTATTGCCTGGCACTAATGTTGGTTTTCTCATTTTGGTAATGCGCTGTGGTCATGTTAAATGCCATCATGGGGAGAACTTGGGTGGGGGGTACAGTAGGCATCCTGTAATATTTTTGCAGCTTCTTGTTAGTTTATAATTATTTTAAAATGAAAATAAAAAGCCATTCCCAACTATAACGAAACACATTACTGAAGAACACAAAGAACCGAATAAACAGAGTACTTTGGCATCTTTTTTAGTAGAAAGTTTCAAAATCATGAACTGAAAATTCTTCTTAAATACTCAATCAATTCAATGCAATTCTATAAAACATTTTATAAAACTTTTTGTTTTCAAAAAAGTTGTCAAAGAATTTGGCAAGCTGCTTCTAAGATTCACACGGAAGGATTGAGGGCAAGACTTCCAATGCAGTGTAAGCACCACAAGAGCAGAGACGTTCATCTCTTTTGTTTAATTCCACATCCCAGAGTCTAGAACTGTGCCTGGTACCTACTAGGTGCTCAAAAACACTTGTGAACAAATGAATGACAACTTAGAAGAAGAAGGACAATAAGAGAAGGAGGAGAGTTTTACCATATCAGATATTAAGGCCTACAATAGTTTTAGCCCATAAGATAGGCTTGGTGATAAATACATAGACCAATAAAATAGAACATAGAATTTAGAAACAGATTCACATACATATGAAAACTTGTTATGTACTAGAGGAGGTGCTATCAATCAGTGAGGAAAGGATAGACTATTTAAATAACCATGCTTATGTACAAAGCAAGATGGTGGCCACCTACGAGCCAAGAGAGGTGACCTCAGGATGGAACCTACCTTCCTGGCACCCCTCTCTTGGATTCCCAACCTGCAGAATGGCTCCTACAGTCCCTGACGAGATGTTACTCCAGACATACTTCCCAGTGATTTTCTGCAAATGTATCACAAGGAATGTGTGGAGAGTACATGGATGTTGCGCCAGGCAGAAGCCAGGGAACAAGCCAGAGGATTTCACAGTAGTCCAGCCATCGTCACTGGACTTGCTGAGCCGTAGATCGTGAACTGCTGTAGAGAAGTCAGCCTCCACTGCTGGAATGCCTCAGTTCCGTTTCCAGCAAACTGCGGCAGATAAACTTCATCTCTGTATCTGCTGTCCCTAATCTTTCTGTAAAAAATACCCTCAGCTTGTCAACATCTTTATATAGCGGGAGGTATCTCCAACCCGCTATATAAAGCCACAGTATATAGCCACAGTAGCCTGTGGTAGCACACCCTTTTTATTTTCTTAGGTGCTTGAACATCAAAGGTCCAATTAAGGTATTAAAAAATTAGCATTTGGCAAACTTATTTCCAATGTTCTCATCTAGCAAAGTTGTGAAAGTATTAAAAATTTTAAAGCCATATATAAATAAATAAATATCCAACCATGCTTAAAGAATTGGTTATTTATATGAAAAAAATATATCCTTACTGGTATTTTTTAAAGTAGAAGAAGGGTGCATATTTATTTATTAACCTTACTTTTATTAACACTATTACAGATTTCCCCGTTTTCCCCCTTTGCTCTCCTCCACTCAGCCCCTCCCCCTCCCAGGCCATCACCACTGTCTGGGTTATGGGTCCTGCAAATGTATTCTTCAGCTAATCCCTTCACCTTCTTTCATCCTGTCCCCCCCCCCCCCCCCCGCCCCTCTGACAGCTGTCAGTCTGTTCCATGTATCCATTCCTCTGTTTCTGTTTTGTTCTTAGGATTCTGCATATAAGCGAGATCCTACGGTATTTGTCTTTCAGATCCTTATCAATATTAATTAGGATTTGCATTTTGCTACAAGCTTTATGAAGGTGACCTAACCAGAAGTTATATTTTCTCTTGCAAAAAGAATTATAGAAATAAACAAAAGGAAAAATTTAGGTCAAAAATAAACGAGAGTGTCCAGAGGTAGGCTGGTGCAGCGGCCCCGCCATGTCACTGATGCCCAGATTCTCCGTCTGTCCACGCCTCTGCGGTTCTCAGTGTGCAGCGCCTCCTCAAGCTTCTTACCCCATGATGGCACAGGGTGATTCACCTCTAGCACGTATTCATTTTTCAGAAAAGAAATGACACAGTGAGCATCAGAGCGAATCAGGTCTAACTCCAAAATCTACACTGCCTGACACACACTTGTATTTCTGATTCAAGAGCTCCTACTCACATCTCATTAGTCGTTCATTCAGCACCTAGTAAATGAATATTTCCTATGCCGACCATACTGTTTCTTAATCATTTATTTATGTGCTGGTCTCCTAGTTCTCTCACAAAACATCTCTCTAATGGAGCACCACCCCCAACCAGAGTTAGACTCCACCTATGTTCCACAGTGTCCAAAGCCCAAAGTAGGCATCAGGAGAGTTCAACTGTGGTGTAGGAAGGTCAGATCTAATTATATTGTTTACAGAAACATATTTCCTAATGGCTGGGAAATAAGGCCAGGCATCATTTTATTTGTGGAACTCAAATCAAATTACCAAGAGGCAAAGACCCAAGCAAGAGGAAGTCCAGCAGATAATTGACTAATCAGAATGATCTTCTCAGCTCTTGTTTAATTATAAGGTATACAAAGAAACAGCTGTGTTTTGCAATCAGTTCCCAATCTAAACACATAACTGACTTTTCCCCAAGAAACACCAATGCCTTTGGCTTAATTGAGTCTGGAAACTCTGTCTATATGGGAGAGAAACAGAGCATAAGGCCAGCAAATGTATCTAAAGGTAACGAGTAGAAGATAGTGTAGGAGACATACATGGAGGGCCATCAAGGAGAGACCTAAGCATACTTGGAAGAACAAGAGGTCTTCCTGGAGACGGTGTTCAAGTGGCTGGCCTGCTCAGGAAGCCCCACCCATGAGTTTCCTGGGTGGGTTCTTTGAATACTAATAGCTACCCTTTATAACCATTGCTTCATGCCAGAGTACTTAGTGAATTACCTCATTTTCATTCTTAGAACAACCTTGCAAGTTCATAATTGGTACCCCTATTCATAAATGAAACTAAAAGTCAGGAAGTTGCAGTCATATGCGGTGAATGCAAAAGCTAGGATTTGAATCCCCCTGGACTTGATTTGACTCAAAGCTTCTGCTCTGAATCCTTAACTATCTTCACAAAACCACTTTAAGGTAACTATTATTGCCTCCACTTCATAAAGTGGAGCTGACCGAGGCCCAGGGAGGACCCAGCTTGCCCACATGACACAGATAGTAAGTGTCGGAGTCAAATCAGGCCTGACTCCCAAATCTACTCTACCCCCCAGGCAGAGGAAGACCGAAGGCCAGGGGTCAGGGCCATGCCAGAAAACCCCTACATGACAGGCCCTACCCTTGCCTAGGACACTGCCCCTTTGTTTTTCATCCACCCCAACCTCACCACTTAGGTCTCTTTCAAGAATCTCTGTTTTTACTGCCTCTCTTCCAGTGTTACCCCTGGGCTGAACGAACTGGGACTAGGTGGCTCTTGGGAGGCTGGGAGACACCCCTCCCCCTCAAAAAGGCATAGCCAAGGTACCAGCAGCCTGGTAGTCCCCCTCCCGACACGTATGAGCAAGGCTTGCGCACAAGACTGTAACTGCTTGGATCAGGGGCCAGTCCAACTGGGTTCAAATCCAGTCACCTTGGCCAATAACGCTAACTCCTTTTTACAAAAGTCTCTATCCTGGGACAGACATTTCACTAGTGGTTTCCTCCATGATTTTTACGATTTTTACAGTTACCTCCCCCTACCCCCTTAATGGACCCTATTTTACAAAAGAGAGCCAAAGGACCCCGGAAGGGAAACGACCAGCATGAATAACTGCAAGTAGCAGGAGCCTAGGACTTGAACCCATCTCGGCCCCGGACTCTGCCGTTGCCTAGGAGCGGAGGAGGGAGGAGGTGCTAGAGTGGAGGGAGGAGGGAAAAGAGAGAGAGGGCGAGCTCCCAGAAGCGCACACTGACGACAGCAGGTGATTTTTTTTTTTTTCCTGCAGCGCGCTTTCTCTCAGTCTTTCCTGGATTTTTTCCCCTGCTCAGTGGCGGAAAAGGGTGGGGCCGCTTCCCTGCAGCAGAGACGGCGGCGGCAGCAGCTGCAGCAGCATCATTGGGAGCAGCGGCAGAGGCAGCAATGCTTGGCCTTCGCTGGAGGTGATCTCCTCCGAGCCCTGCTAGGTAGCCGGCTGCGACCGGACGCCGGTGGGAAGGAGAATAGAGGTTCATCCGTGGACCCCGCTGCCACACTGTCCTGCCCTTCCTCTGCGCCATGGCTTAAGACCGCGGCCACTTCGCCTCGCGTCCCTGGCTTCGCTGGGGTCTGAGCACCGCCGCAGCCTCAGGGAAGGGCGCGGCCCAGACGCCTTCGCTCCGGGACTCCGGGACGCCTGGTCTCTGACCTCCCGAGCCTGCAGCAGACTGCGTTCCCAACACCTTTGCAGTCGGTAATCGAGGGACTTTATCTCCGTGACAGTTTTGCTGCCCTGACCTTCCTGGGGTGCTTTCTGAGGGAGGAGGGCGAGGTACTCAGGCCACCAAGGAAAACACGGTGGGAATCAGATTGGCTGGCTGGTCAAGCGCCAAGCGACTGAGGAAGATTACAGACTTGCTTTAGAAACACAAAAAGAAGGGAAGGCCAGCTTTGCAACTAACATCATGGCGTGGCCGTGCATCACGCGGGCTTGCTGCATCGCCCGCTTCTGGAACCAGCTGGACAAGGCGGACATCGCCGTTCCCCTGGTTTTCACCAAGTACTCGGAGGCCACCGAGCACCCAGGCGCCCCGCCGCAGCCGCCGCCGCCGCAGCAGCAGCAGCAACAGCAGGCGCAGCCGGCGCACGCACCCCCCTCGGCGCGGGCGGTCGCCATAGAGACTCAGCCGGCCCAGGGCGAGTTGGATGCAGTTGCCCGGGCAACAGGGCCGGCTCCCGGGCCTAGTGGCGAACGCGAGGCGGCTGCCGCCTCTGGCCGGAGCACACTGGGCTCCGGCCCGGGCTCAGGCTCCGGCTCCGCCTCTGGCGCGGGCCCTGTGGACTCGGTGATGCGTCAGGACTACCGCGCCTGGAAGGTGCAGCGGCCCGAGCCAAGCTGCCGACCGCGCAGCGAGTACCAGCCTTCCGACGCGCCCTTCGAGCGCGAGACCCAGTACCAGAAGGACTTTCGCGCCTGGCCGCTGCCGCGACGTGGGGACCACCCGTGGATCCCCAAACCGGTGCAGATCCCCACGTCCTCCCAGGCTTCAGCGCCTATTCTCGGTGCGCCCAGGCGCCGGCCTCAGAGCCAGGAGCGCTGGCCAGTGCAGGCCGCCGCTGAGGCTCCGGAGCAGGCAGTGGGTCCTGGTGGAGCCGGTGCGTTCTCGGCAGGAAAGGCATCGGGTGCGGACGAGCGCGAGACACGCAAGAAGGCCGGGCCCGCCTGGATTGTGCGTCGCCCTGAGGGGCTGGGGCACGAGCAGACGCTGCTGCCCGCAGCCCAGGCCCAGGTCGCGGGCCCCGAGGGTGGCAAGGGGCGTGCGGCAGCTGATGCCCTCAATAGGCAAATCCGCGAGGAGGTGGCGAGTGCAGTGAGCAGCTCCTACAGGTGAGGCGCCGGACACAGCTCCTGCAACGGGGCTGGTCACCCTTTCCTTCTGAAGACTGCCCAGGATTCAATCCGCACATCCTAGGCCTCACATCAGCCTCCCCTCCCCTCCCAGGCCACACCCTCTCCCCAGCCCCATCCCAGGCACCCTGCCACGGCTGATTTCCTTCTGTTCTTTCCTAAGTCCCTTTTCCCGGGCCTGCCCTGGTCTTTCACTCTACCACCTCAGCCACCTTTCTTCCCATCCCGCCCTACTACAAATCCCTACGCACCCAACAAAGACCCTTTGCAATTTTTTCACAGGCTGTGATTTCATTCCGCCCCACTCAACTTCAACTTACCAGCGGCATTAGTCTAAATGCCGCCTTTGCTGGCTCGGTTGCCACACACCAGCCTTGGTGCCTTCCCTCAGGGCCCCATCCTTCCAGAAGAGAAGTTCTTTCCCAGCGATCAATAGCCTCACCCCCATCCCCGCCCCAGCCCCGTTCACTTGGCCTTTCATTCTTCCCTCAACTCTCTCAGTCCCTGGGAGATTCCTGAGCACCACACCCTTTTCTAGATTCCAGAAAAGAGGATCCGTATAGATCCCCCTCCTAGCTGAGGCTCTGAACTCAGACTCCTTGGGTTTCTTACTGTCTGATACGTGGGGCAAGTTTTTTTTCTGGGCCTCAGGTTCTTACCTGATGTGACTGATAATAGATTGTTCTCTTGAAAGTGCTCGCTCATTTATTAATTTAATATGAACATTCAACATATTTTTGAAAACCTGCTCTATGCCAGGCACTATACTAGACATTTCGAGGATTAAATCAAATGGATCTGGGGAGAATTCTGCCTGCACATTGTAGATGACTAGTGTGTTTTGGTTCCATTCCAACGGTCTACACAATGCCTCATTATTCTGATTTTCACTTCCGGCCTTCTTATGTGTCTTTTCTCCTGTCCCTCCATGTTCTACAGATGTGTCTCCCATTCTCTTACCACCAAGAACCCCCTTGTTAGTGCATTTAAGTTCCCTGTAAATGAATGTCTTTAAGCAAGTGCACAACGTCTCTCTGTCTCCATTCTTCTGGAATTCTCCCTCTGCTGTAGTCTCATCCCTCCCGGCCTGCTTTCTCATCCTTATATCCAATCTGTATTTTCTGAATGCATAGCTTTCAGTCCTGCCCTTATGTTTCAACCCAGATCAACCAGCTAACAGATCACAGTTGACTCTGAACACATTACATGGGGCTTGGAGGTCTCTGGGGAAGCAGGCTGCATGATGGATAATTGGGTGAAAGGTGTCCAGAGTGTGGCTCATAGGGTCCTTCATTGATGCCACAACTAATTGCCTCCTGCAGCCTGGAGGGTGTGGCCAGGAGGACTGCAGGGTTAGTGTTTTTTGCCAAGATCCTAGGTGTAGCCCCCTAGCAGACTGATGTCCTTCTTCAGCGAATATAACAGCCACTTCTTTACATGCTGAGGGAAGAGTAGCATAGATAGTCATCCTCTTTTGCTAAGACAAAATCCCCTCCCCTCCCAGGTTTTAACTCTGGAAAGTATTTCCCAGTGAGAAGCAGTAGCTAATCTGTTGGGCACGACTCCATCTCCCTGAATTCCACATCCCACTTGGCATTTTTCTCTTGGTTTATCGTTACCATGACCACACTGGTCCCCCAGGAGTACACCACTTCCCTTTGAAGCTCTGGGTCATGCAAGAACATGATCCTCTTCCTTGATTCTTAGCCCTCAGGAGGTAAAATTTTCATAAATCTTTATGCTGCTACCAATGGAGCATCAAAAAGAAAAGAAAGGAAGCAAATAAGCAAGGGGCATAAAAAAACAAAGCCAAGATGTGGTTTTGTGATTCTGTTGTGGCTTTCTTATTTACAGGGCCTTACTTCATTCCCTGAGCACCCTAAGGTCACAGATCCTTGGCCTGGCCTCTATCTTCCTACTTCCTTTTTACGACCCTGTGGAAGGTGGAACCTTAACACCCACCAGGCAGTAACTGCCTCTCCTCACTCCCATAGAGTCAGTGCCAATCAAGGGAGATTCCAGATTCTCACACCTGCTTCAGTGATCCCACTCAGTTTATGATTCCCAGCGGGTGGGACTAGCTTTGTCCAAGGATGACTGGCCGTACAGTCAGGGAATGACCCACCCGTTGGATACAACTCACCCCGAATATTTGGCTCCTACATGTTTCCGTAGAGCCTCTTCCCCCAGACAACACCTGAACTCTGCTTCCTTCTGCAGGAAGCGTGTCATGCTTTATGGTTGGCACCACGCACACACTGTAAGTGATTGGATTTAGCAGCAGAAGGCTATACTCTCATAGCTGATCCAAAAAAAGGAACCTCTGAACAACTCAAAAATATTTTTTCTAATTTTTGGGTCTTCTATAAAATTTTATTAGGCACAGGATTTGGGGCAGAAGTTCCATTTTGCTGGATAATTAGAAGGGTTTTGAAATATTAAGAGAATGAATATTGATAAGAGACATTGATTTCTTTCATGGACAATATAAGTGCATGACAAATTTTATTTGAAATTTAAATCAAATTTTTTGTTTGATTTTTTTGTTTGTTTCAGAAGAAAAATAAACCAATAATAGAGAAATGCATTTCGGGTGAAAGTAGATATGAAAAATAAGATAATAAATTAATTAAATATAAAGAAAAATGCCTGGAAATTGTAGGCTTATCAGGAACATTGATTTTCCTTCCCTATTGTTCTCACGTTTTTTTTTTTTTCTTGCTATGACTCTGAATATCTGGTGAATTTATGCCCTGGGTCTGTTATCAGTGAGCCTTGCCTACCGTTAGCAGCCAAGTTGGGTTCCATTTCAATGATAATTTGATTTACAAATCCTTTTCTTGTGTCACCCTACATAAATCATGGTGGTTTACCCCATGGTGACTGGCTTATCTCACAGGCTTCACAAAGGACATCTGCCGCATGACAACAATGCAGGCGGTTTGCTTAAATAAAGGACACATAATCAATCCATCAGCTTAATTTATTGGTATATAATGTAAAATATTCATTCAGCATTCAGATTCATATACATACTAATTGGTTTTGTCTACAATATACATTCAGCAAATAATATCGAATGTCTTTTGATGCTATGGTTTTGAGAAACCTTCCCTATTTAACAGTTCATTTAATACACAGCTTACCCGCACTACCCTGGGATTTTTTGCATTCAAATGGTATCTAAGGCATCTTTAGAATTATTCACAATCATGAAGTTGATTAATTTTCAACACATTCGTATTACACGGATGATATAAAATTGAGAAGCATGTCTTTGTTATCGTTTTTAATGTTAAGAATGGATTTTACTGGTCGGCCATTTATGACTTTAGACCTGGCATTCTCAATTAGAAAATGAAGAGTCGCGAGGAGGGGATTTAAATTCCCCTCCCCAGTCAACCCATTGCCCTCGCCATCAGTTAATAGGGATAGATGGGGTAGCAGGTGCTCCCCATAGAAATGTTAATGAAACTTTTTCCTGGAAGAAATCAGCTGAGGCACCAGGAGGTAGAATTAATAAACCGGAGGCAAAATACTTGAAAAATGAGAGCCGTCACAAGGAAATTAGAAAGAAAAGAACCCTTTAATGTCTGCCCCGCAGTCTCCGTGAAGGTTAGAGAAAGGCCGTCTGACCTGGCTTGTGCCTTGCGGGCTGCCCTACGCCTGCAGCGCCTGCGCGTTTCCTCGTTTCTCCCTTTCTTCCTAGGTAAGTCACGGCGATACTTCGGCGCCACTCGTCGATGCTGCCTTCCAGGTTCTGCCATTCAGAATCGGATTTTCCTTTATTCCCTTTTAATGTTTCATACACTTCTAAAAATACTTTGATCTGCTCCTGCCTCCCCCACCAGATTGTGCACAGTTGAAGAGAAAAGCTGTAGTTCGTTCACTTCTAAACCTCTTACACATAATACTGTGCCTAGGTGCGATGTAGGTTGGTTGAATCCAGTGGAATTGTTAGCGTTTGGTGAAAATTTTATTCGCTTACATACCGATTCATTTCATTCAGTTTCATTTAGTTGAATTTATTTCAGAAAATGATCACCAGGCTCCTGCTATATATCTATCAGACGTATTCCGGGGATACCAAATGGATAAGTCATAACCCTTATGTAAGAAAACTGTCTCCCTTAATCAAAATAAAGCCCATTTCCTACTAGGCTAGCACTAGCAGTAAATGTTCAAGTGTGGAAGAGCAGCAAACCTTACAGACCTGACTTTCACTTCACTCTCATCCAGGACAGGGGTCCTCAACCTTGGCTACGCATCGGAGTCACTGCAGAACTTTTAAAATGCTGTCCCACAGGTACCCTGCCCAGAAATTCTGATTGGCTTGGTCTGAGGTGTGGCCTGGGCATCTGAATTTTTAAAAACTCTCCCAGATGATTCTCATGCGTAGTTCGTTTATGGCCTTCTTCCCCAAGGCAGAGGCCCTCAAACTTTGGCACATGAAAAGAGTCATCTGGAGAGCTTTCTAGAATTCATATTCCTGGGCCTCATCCTCAGACATGCTAATTCAGTATGTTTAAAATGGAGCCTAAGAATCTGCATTTTCAAAAGCACTCTAGGTGATTTTGATGCAAGTGAACCTCAGGCTTTTATCTGGGAAAACTCTGCGTGGAAAGACTTGATGTCTTTAAGGTTTTGCGTTTTCCCACGTTGAAATCTGGTGTTGCTCACCATTTACTTAAGACTTTTATGTCCTTCACTTACATTTTGTAATTTTCTCCAAAAAAAGTCACACGTAATAGTTTTTAAGTTTTATTTTACTATAGTTAAGTCTCAGTTATCTAACTGGAGTTTTACTTTGCATATGGAATGAGGTAGAGAAGCTAATTTCCTTTGACCCATAGGGAAAGTCCTTTATCCTAACACCCTCTTAAAAAGTGCAACTTCCCCACACTAACATCTCCTCTTTCACATGAGGTTCACATTTGCTTGCATATGGATATTTCCGAGATCTCTTCTGTTCATCTGAG